TTCCTTTGGTGATGTTCTCATTTGACTGCATCAGATTGCAGTGTCAAGTTGAATGACTGGAGCAGATGAGACTCCACAGAAAGTTTGTAATCAGGCAAAGCCATATTGCATGAATAAATGTTCATATTGAGTTTGTGAAAAACGTGGCCACAACTCTAGTGACCTGATTTGTAAAAGAGAACAATAATGTCAGAGCTAACTGCCCAAATATGTCTGCAGCTGCCGTTTGTCTTTTGAAATCCTCTCTTTGGATTCAGTCAATGGAAATTTTAATCCACTATATTACTTGATAACCGGATCAGTTTTACTTGATTTTTGTCAGAGGCTGCTAAAACTATATTTTTTTTCCTGAAGAAAATGTGAGTGTTGCTTGTCTGTTGCCACAATACTAGGGTGTTCTGGGTGGTTGATGGAGTGTTGTTGGGGTGTTTGTTGCCTGGTGTATTGCTGGAGAGTTGTTGGGGTGTTGCTGGGTAGTTGATGGGCTGTTGATGGAGTGTTGTTGGGGTGTTGCCTGCTGTGTTGCTGGAGAGTTGTTGGGGTGTTGCTGGGTAGTTGATGGGCTGTTGATGGAGTGTTGTTGGGGTGTTGCCTGCTGTGTTGCTGGAGAGTTGTTGGGGTGTTGCTGGGTAGTTGATGGGCTGTTGATGGAGTGTTGTTGGGGTGTTGCCTGCTGTGTTGCTGGAGAGTTGTTGGGGTGTTGCTGGGTAGTTGATGGGCTGTTGATGGAGTGTTGTTGGGGTGTTGCCTGCTGTGTTGCTGGAGAGTTGTTGGGGTGTTGCTGGGTAGTTGATGGGCTGTTGATGGAGTGTTGTTGGGGTGTTGATGGGCTGTTGATGGGGTGTTGCTGGAGAGTTGTTGGGGTGTTGATGGGCTATTGATGGAGTGTTGTTGGGGTGTTGCCTGCTGTGTTGCTGGAGAGTTGTTGGGGTGTTGATGGGATGTTGATGGGGTGTTGCCAGGTGTGTTGCTGGAGAGTTGTTGGGGTGTTGCTGGGAAGTTGTTGGGCTGTTGATGGGCTGTTGATGGGCTGTTGATGGAGTGTTGTTGGGGTGTTGCCTGTTGTGTTGCTGGAGAGTTGTTGGGGTGTTGCTTGGTAGTTGTTGGGGTGTTGATGGGGTGTTGCCTGGTGTGTTGCTGGAGAGTTGTTGGGGTGTTGCTTGGTAGTTGTTGGGGTGTTGATGGGGTGTTGCCTGGTGTGTTGCTGGAGAGTTGTTGGGGTGTTGCCTGGTGTGTTGCTGGAGAGTTGTTGGGGTGTTGCTGGGTAGTTGTTAGGGTGTTGATAGGGTGTTGCTATTGATAGGTTATTGTTTGTATGTACTAGTGCAGAAAATGGTCAGGTCACACATCCAACATGGTGTTATGACGTGTAATCATAATCCATGCAGGATTACTATATGCTGCATTCTTAGCTCTTAGAAAATTAAATGGTTCATTGTCTGTCAATATAGCTTACATCTACAACCGTCCAACAGTTACTTGATTTCCTCTCCTGTCTGCTTGGGCACAGGAAGCTCTAATATCCTTGTGTAATGGAGTGTTTCTCTGTGACCCTCCACTGTCTGTAATTAATCGGTCACATTTGTGAGGTTAATTAGTCCAGTAGACTTTATGAGCCATATAACTTAACCCATAATTGATACATATGGTAATTTCAGTGTTTAACCGACTTTACTAATGTAATGTTTTTTGCTGTTGTTTTTATGAGAGAACATTTAAGAATAAATAATGAGATCCTTTAAAGCAGATTGACAGAGAAGGCCTGTAATTAAAATGAGCAGTACTGTTGTTTTTTTAATCCTAACTTTGTAGTAATGTTTAGTTTTAGATGTTTTTTTTTAAAGCTGAAGTTTTCTTGTCAATACTGTTGTTTGATTAATTACCAATTTTGTATGTAAATGTAATCTCAAGGCCTCATGGATTCTTTAGCAAATTATAAAATGCTGTTTTACCCCAGTATTGGTTATATTAAAGCAGCAAAAAATTGATTCTGCACTTTATTAACTGTAGAGGAGCATGAGTAGACCAAAGTTAAAAAATGAAGAAAACCGCTTGCATAAAGTGATGTTTAGTGCAATATTAGCTGACTGATCTAATCTAAAATTACTTTGACACCCCTGCTTTAAATTTGTTTTCTGTTACCTGAACATTTTTATGCTAAATTAGCTAAATTGGCTTTTGAAACCTGCTGAAAATGTCACTTTACAGTATGTGAGAATACTACACGAAGACAGAGAGCTTTGATCAGGTAACTTGTGACTTTATATTGTCAGCTGTCTGTGAGAACTTTTAGCTGCTCAAGGACAAATTCTTTGTTTCTGGTTTTGTACATATTAAGTACGTATTTTCTTACCTTGCAGCTAACTGTGGGAAATCTAAGGTTTACTAAGTAATATCTTCAACCAAAAAAAGTATTTCTCCAATTTTAATGTATCTGCTTCCTGATGGCAGCACATTCTCCCCTTTCTAATTTTTAGAATATTGCCTCCAGTAAATAAAATATTCTCTCCCTCTTTTCTTAAAAGCTGTAAAGAATATATAAAAGAACTACTGAATGTTACACATTTTGTGTAAATCAAATGATAAAAATGAAAAGGATTTTATAATTCCAGGCTTTAGCATAACACATTGTGGAAAAGGTCCATGTGAGGTGAATCCTAACATTTATAGCACTTACACAATCCTTATGCAAAGTGAGTGAAAAATGAACTCTTTTCAGCCAGTCAGTTTACTTGGTTGTTATTTTTCAAGCATATTAAGCGCAGGTCTCTTTATCTCCAGATCTTTCTTTTATCATGAGATTCAAGATAACGCTATTGTAGAGCATCTCTAGTGTTGTTGATTGATCTCAGAGTCCTTCATTCAGCAGTCATTTCCAGCAGGCCTGCTCTCCCTGCGCTGTTTATGAGTATGTCGTATGAATGGATGAAAATGAGGCTGCTCCGGGCACTGCTGCCGGAATCATAGCTGGCTTTGGTTAAATAATGAGGCAACACAAAGATAATGTATAACCTAAACGATCAGGCCGGAATCGATACAACTGCTGAGTGCTCTGTGCAACATCTCTCTCCCGCGATTATCCTGAGCAGGTTTGGGAACAGAAGTAGCAGTAATGGAGAGAGAGTGATAAGAGGGAAAAGATTTGAGAAAAATAGAGGTGAATCAACAGAAACAGGAGAGCTGCTGTAGAGATGAGCAAAGACTTTGTCTTTCCCTATGCACTCACAAATACTAAATTATTATTATTAATATTATTATTATTAGTATACCATTTTTAATTTATTATTGTTATTATTATTATTATTTTATTACATTAAAATTATTATTATTATAATTATTATAATAATAATAATTATTATTATTGTAAAATTAAAAATAATAATAATGTAAAATAATAACAGTAATAATAGTTATAAATAGATAAATAGAATTCATATGACAGAATTAGATTTATTCAAGCATCAATACATCAATAAATGATCATCAGTACCAGGAAAGGTAAAATGTAATGCAAATAAAATGCCTATATTTAATAGTATATTTAAAATTGTAGCAATATGCTCCTCTATGAAGTAATATTTTAGTATCATTGAGATAATATTATAGCTTTTATCTTTTTTTTTTATTTTTACATTTTCCGTTCCATTTATATTTTAATTTTAAAGTATTAGTATTTATTTTTATTTTTATTATTTTTTATTTTTTATTTTATATATATGTAAACTAAATGAAAATGAGAAATATTGCAACTTGTGGACATAAAATGCATTTAAGTTTATTAAATATTTTATTTCAGTTAGGTTTATTTTATTTTAAGTAATGTAGTTTTTTTTTTAGTTAACTATACAAACCCTGCATCTATAGAGTTCATTATTCTAGCTTAACGTTAGGTGACACATTTGTCTCCAAGTGGTTTTATTGGCATCATCGCTCTACTAAACCTACGTACCAATAAACCTCTAACAGGTTCATAGCACTTTGAGACTGTCTCGCCAATAACTTATGTGCAATTAAAGGTGCAATGTGTAATATTTTTGCGCCATTTTGCGCCGCCATGTTTCTACAGTAGCCCTAAATGGACAAACTACTCTACAGAGCATGTTTCGTCACTGTTGTTCTTCTTCGTTTCTTCCTCGTGTTCCTCGTGTTTTTAGAGGCAGCTTGCATCATTGCTACTTTGAATACGCACGAAGAAGTAGTAGTAGTAGTAGTCGTCATGTGGTTTATTAGAAGCAGAGGTCATTCGTAGAAGTAAGAAGAGTAAGAAATATTTGAACAAATGGAGGACCACTCGTATTATTTTGCACAAGAGCCGACAGAGCGTCAATCTTCATCGTCAAAGAAGTGAAAATATGAATTAGCCAGGTGAAGTCGGGACAGAATATTTGCAATAACATATCGGTTTATTAAATAAATTAATTACATATAATTTCTTAATTTGTCTTTGATAACACTTAATGGCCCAGATTTTTCTACATATTTTTTTTTCCATATGTTTGACTGACTGTATTTTATTATGATGGCTGCATTGTCAAGGTAGCAAAGCTTAACTGTGGGTGTTCAAGCGGCGCCGGCGCAATCACTTTAATTTTTTCCTTCTAACAGTGGAAGAAACTACTCCTTTTAGTCATAAAAATAATCGGAATTGTAAAAGGTTTGCTTTTTATATATATATATATATATATATATATATACATACATACAGCATTTCTTATAAGAAAAATGAATCCAAGAGCAACTGAAGAACCTTTATATTGTTAAGAATATACACAAATAAACTCTATGCAAGCAAGTTTTTGTTTTGTGGTAAACGAGCTGTAATGGATGATGACATTCAGAAGGTTTTCTCCTGAGATTTCTGCCCTCCCTGACATTTATTCACACCATCCAGCTCTTTACTCAGCATGTCACTTTCCAGCTTATTCCAATGAAAGCTGCCAGAAGCTTTAGCTAAGGCTGTTCGTTCTATCTATCTTTTGGCTGGTCTTTTTTGCTTTCAGAAAGTCGTGAGAGGGCAATAACCTAGCATACATCTGAAATGAATCTTAATCGAGCCAAGTTCCCATCTTTTTATCTCTAGTGAACAAACAGTGGCTAAATTAACGCTAACTGTTGTTTACACAGCGCTAACTTTGTCCTCGCCCTACTGTGTTGCTGTTAAATAAACTTCACCCCTCGTGAGCACCAGTCAAAGCTGGCGTACCCTTCAGTGTTACTTTGTCAGAGCCGCAGCTCTGTTCAGCTTAATAGGAGGGTGCTTGGGTGCGTGGCTAGCTAATGCAGTGTGTACGACTAGCTAATTCATTTGATAGGCTAGTCACGCTCTGGCATGTCCAGAGGGATAGGATGGATCGTAGGGGATCAGTGACACAGATTAAAAGAGAGTAGCCACCGAATGTGTTTCTCAGATGGGTACGGACAGCCCTGTACCACTGTGTACTTTCATTAAGCTAATGCCGCTGAGTTTCAATGTGATCGCAGCTATTGTCAGCCAAGCTATTTCCCATCTCACTGAAACTACTTGTCCCTCATCACCCTTTTCTAAATCTAAATAAACAGTTGTGTGGGATAGTCTAATAGAAATGATGAAACACTAATAGGGCTTTCTATATTGCAATAACTTTGATGTATTGTAGCATCTTTTTATTTGCTTTCAAGCTTTGTCGCTCATGGACAGTTCAGATAAACTCGCTACTGATTGTTGCTCCAAGCCAGTACAAGCTTAGGTGGTTTATCAAATGGATTTTAACCTGGTTTGAGACTTTTTTTCCACATTGACAGGGACCTGTTTGAACTGATTAATTATTTGTGAACTAGTTAACCAGCTTATAGTAACTACTTTAGTTAGCCTATATAACTTTTCCAGAAAGTGCATAGATATAAACCAAACTTTACTTGGTTAAAGACATATCTATCTATCTATCTATCTATCTATCTATCTATCTGTCTGTCTGTCTGTCTGTCTGTCCTTTGTTCTGTCATTTGTTGTCTATCATTCTATCTTTCGTTCATTTTATCTGTCATTTGTTCATTCTATCGGTCATTCTATCCATTGTTCTATCTATTCTTTTATCTATGTTGTTTATTCTATTTATCATTCGTTCATTCTATTGTTCATTCTGTCTATCATTCTATCTATAATTTGTTCCTTCTATCTGTCGTTCGCTCTGTCTATTGTTCTATCTTTCATTCTCTCTTTCATTCATTCTATCTGTCGTCCATTCTATCTATCCTTCGTTCTATCTGTCGTTTGTTGTGTCTATCGTTCTCTGTCATTTGTTGTCTATCATTCTCTTTCGTTCATTCTGTTATTAGTTCATTCTATCTGTCGTTCTGTCTATCCTTTCATCTGTGTCATTCATTCATATTTATTGTTTGTTCGTGCCTTCATTCTATCTAGCATTCTTTCATTTTTTGATCTAGCTTTTGTTAGTTCGTTTAATCAATCTATTGTTCAATCATGCTATCTATTGTTCATTTGTTCTATTGTTGCATAGATTTTTCAATTTTTTCTATTGATCGTTCTATCTTTAGCATTTTACCTATAATATACATTTTGCTCTTAAAAACAACAACAAAAAATGTCTCTCTTTTGTACCAAAAATATTTGATTTAAGATGTTGTCTTAAGGATGTTTAGATATCTTGACTGGAAAACAAAACAAAAAAATACTGATAAATAAAAATGATTTTTGATTTAGTTTGAGATGACTCAGTGTTTGCTTGTTTACTCATGAGAGGCCAGATGATCTGAAAATTCAATACACAGTCCTGTCCCAGTTCAGATGAGGAGAACATGCATTTTATTCCAAATCCAGAAGGATCCAACCAGTGCAAAAAAGTACAGAAATGCAGAACAGAATGTGAGTGATCCTTTGGTGAATGCACGCCCAGGTTTCATCTTATCTAAATCTTGTTGGGCTGTCCTGCTGTGAGCTTGGTGGCATCGTGAACAAACCAGAACAGGAAATCTGATCAGCTGGAGTAATGAGCTCTGAGCTGCTGCTTCTCCTCTTTGCATCTTTTATAGACCTCCACAAGCCTGCTCAACGCCACCTAAATTCTTAATGACCGCTCAGACTGTTCTGTATACACTCTCATTTTCACCTTCTCTCCCGCCACGCTCGCAGCTCCCTTAGATTGTTTGCTTTTACCTGATGGCGGGAAACAATGTGTCTCTTTGCTGATAAGGAGAACAACCTGTTTTGAATGTAGCTGATAGCAAAGTGTCATAGTAATGAGAGGATAGTTCTTCGGCTCTCGTGGCGAACATAAAAGACAAGACACAAAAAAGGGAGGAAGCTCTTGGCAGCATCTGGGAAATGCTTGATATGAGGTTGCCATGGCAACCTGCTAACACGTGGAAATAGTCGTTTATTGCAGGTAATGGCAATACCGCAAGCATGCGGTGAAAAGTTGAGTCAAAACATTTGTACATTTAATGGTAACATGTAATTATGCTAAAACAGTCATAATTTAATGAGGGAAGCACTGCATAATGTATTTTTTTTCTTCACTTTTCACATCTTCATAGTCAACAAACTGTACTTTTTTCATAATTGAGAAGTAATTTTCCTTGCGTGTGCACTGTTTTGCCTTTGAAATGTAAGATAAGAGTTTCGTTCTTTAATAAAAGGCTCTGGGCTCTCCGGACTGCTCTGATGAAATGCTGTCAGAAATTTAAAAAATTAAATTCCCTCTCATGTCTTTTAGAGACCATGTTCCTGTTTGGCCCCTTTTATTCCTCTTTTCTGGTCTCACTCCTTTCTTATCTGTCCCTCTCTGTCTGTTTTTTATCCCTAGAGGTCACTGGTTTATCAGAGATGATATCATAGGGAGGCGTGCCCATCTGAAAGAGATGTTCATTTAAAAAAATGTAGGGTAGGACTTGATTTTAAACATACTGTGAAAAGCACCAAAACATACCAGAGGTGATTTTGCTAAAATACCACAATATATTTGCAGATATTTAGGAAACACGTTAACACGCTATAAACTCCATTTGATACTTGTTTTTCTGAAAAACAACGCTACAGCCAGTTATTCTACTTTGAAATGGGCGTTCCATGTCAGAATGTCTGTTTTTGTTTTGGTCTCTGTGATTCCGCCCGCTGCCAATTTGTCCAATAGTATTTCAACACCCCGGGTTGCCAGTTAGCGGAAAACACAGTGTATTGCAGCAATGGAAGCCAGCAAACACACTGGGCCAGAGATTGAAAATTCTACCCAAGCATCCATCTAAAAAGATTAATGTCTAGAGGCTTATTAAAATGCAGATAAATCAACTCATCAACTCATGTTCATTGCCTTCCATCATCAATTGTGCTTGTTCCTGTTATGTGTCCTCAATCTGGCAACCTGCGTGAGCATCGAGTCTGAGGTAGAAGAGGTGGGAGAAACAACTCTTTAATTTGGACTGCAGTATCCATTCCAACTGTTAGCTGTCAATATTACATACTGCACCTTTAAACATCTGTTTATCTGTTACTTAACACAGTATGTATTGTCTTCAGTGAAGAAAGAAAGTTGTTTCAGCAGCAAAACTTTGATTATTAACATTACAAAGAGATGTTTTGGTTGGAATAACATTCACCACTGAATCATCTACAATAACACCAGGAAGTGTGCATTTAGAAAGTAAACAAAACCACTTTAAACCACTTTGACTAAGGCATTTATGTTTTTATTCAGTGTTAGAAATAGACGGAGAAATCAAAGGTGGGGAAAACAACCTTTTAAACAGCCAATGTCTTGTTAAATCCTGTAATGAAGCGAATGTACTGTTACTCTTTCATCCGTAACTTTGCAACCTTGAACTGTTCTTTATTCTTATTGAAATTAGTGGGGTTTACAGAACACAGTACATGAAGATATAGTTAGGATTTTTACACAAATACCGCATTAACTTTGTTCTGAAATCTAATCGTGTTTGCATCATGTTCTTCATCAAGCTTAAAAACTTACAAATTTATGCATGCTTTTAGGCTAAAAGTGTTCTCACCAAATAGGCAACATGCAATCAAGAGCACCTTGTAAGTGTGGTCTGTCATGCTCTTGTTTAAATGCTTTGGATAAAAGTGTCTGCTAAATGACTAAAAGTAAAGTAAAAAGTAAAATATCACTAGTGTAGTGTAAACAAACTCGACTATCAAACAAGTGATTGGTCCTTTTGTGTTTGGTCCTGTCTCCAGTGCACTTCTTGTAAGTTGTAGGCTGCCTATGAAGAGTGTTCTAACTAAGTAACATTTTTATTTATCT